GTTATTCAGCTCCTGCTCAAACTGTACAATTAAATCGCAGAGGTTAGAAGTTCATAGGTCACGATGCAGGTCTCACACTATACGGCCTGATGCTCTGCGTCCATAACATGAAGCTTATCATACAAAATCTGTCTCTCGCTCTCCCTCTTTGTGTCTTTCACTCACACAGACACACACACACCACCACCATCAACTTTAAATTACTAATGAAAAACATTGACCAGGCAGCTGCAATTGAGCAGCAATGTCCATCCAACTCTTTTCATGGTTGTTGTAGTCGTGATAATTTTGTGAGGCCACATTGAAAAGCCTCGGATACGTAAGCGTAGAGCTGCCACCCAGGCAAAAGAAAAATAGAGCTATATCACGTTATAACGAACAATATACTGTGCCTCCATCTCTTGTGTCCAGATCACAAGCTGCACTGCCGTGCTGCTCCACCTTTTCTCTTTTATTTCTGTGTTTGTGCGTGCGCAGTGTGAGAGGCTGCGTTGAGGGGCGACAGGATTTCAAACAGGTTTGATTATCATGCGACCATACGATTGATGATTGGGAGCTGGTCGTGAGGTGTTAACTGCTTTTCGTTACCCCATGTATACAACACGATGCACACACGATTAAGGCAAAACTCGGGCCGATCCCCAAAACGGTTGCGCAACTGAAAAATTGTCTCAAAATGGGCCAAAAATCGCACAGTGTATGGGCAGCTTTTGGAGGCTAGCTCCAAACAAACGTGCAGCTTGGCAGTGTATACAGCACTATAACGACCAGACCTAATTCTTTTGAAAACCATACATCTTTCCACAGGTCTCCACTTCATAAGACATCACCTAGACACAGAGCTGGATGAGGCCAGCACAAACAGCAGCCTATTCGACGAAGATGATGGATCCATGGGGTCAGGAAAGCCAGAAGCAGGGGAGCTGGAGAGGTACCTTTCATGTCCATTCACTGGAGGTGTGGATCTATTGCATGGCTTTCCTCACATCAAGAAGCTGTCGATCAAAGTCAATACTACTCTTCCTGCATCTGGAGCTTGTGAAGGACTTCTCAGTCATGCAGGACTCCTGTTCACTGCTAAACAGTTAGAGCTTCACAGCAAGAACCTTGAGAGCAAACTGCTGCTGAAGCTTAACCATCACCTCACTTAGTGAAGAAATGGCACATTTTTGCTAAATATGCAGAAATAGATGCACACCCATACAACTTATGGTAAACTGAGCTGCCTTGTATGAACATATGTTGAAGATGCCTCGTTCTAATGTTTTCTCTGAGGCTGCTGTGCCATTTGGAGCAAAAATGAATCTAAAGTTTACAGCATATCTTGTCACTGGAAATTATTTGCACTGTTTATATATTTATATTATTTACTGCAGGTATTGGTGAAAAAAGCTTTATGTTGTGAAAAACTGAAATCTGGAAATTAGAATTGTTGTGCCTTATTTTGTTGATGTTTTTACATATATTCCTTTTGAAAATACTAAAATTTGTATATTTATTTATTTTTGTTTGTCTGATAGCATTTATTTATAAAATAAATCGGACATTTTAAACAGTTACTCGCTACCTGAGTAGTCTTTTCGCCAAGTACTTTTTTACTCTTACTTGAGTAACTTTTTTGACGACTACTTTTCACTTTTACTTGAGTAAAGTACTTTGGATACTCGACCCACCTCTGCACTTACCTGACCTCACGCAGTTTTTCAGGCAGAGGGCCTCACTGTCGAACCTATTTCCATTCCCTCCACAACCTCCATACCAGAATTGTACACAGAACCCGTTCTTTCTGTCAAAGAACCACTTAGCCTCATAGTCTTTGCAGGGCATTCCAGGGTCATAGTCAAGCGAGCATGGGCCTGCCAATTCATTAACTAGAACATGCAGAACAAAAAACAAACAAACAAACAAACAAATAGCTGTGATATAGCAGGGATGGAGGACAAATAGAGAAAGAGGATGCGTTTGTGTGAGGATTAGATGAACAAATACAGCATACAACAAACTGTAAGCTTTGAAAGTAGCAAGTAAACAAATGTATTAGAAGTTCAGATGTATTTGAAAAGGGGTTTTAAATTAGTTTTTGTGCCTGCAGAGGAAAAGAAATGGCATTCAGCATGAGACTATATCCACTACATGGGAGTTTGGATAATTGCAATATATTAGAAGAGGTTTTGCTTATTAAAAAAATAAAAAAAGTTGTGATTAGAATGAAAAAGGATTATTTTTAGGTTTTCATGGATGGATCTGACAAGTTAGTTGTAACTAAATTCATTAAATGTTAGTTACTTTTGTGTTTTCATGCCTTAGTTGTGCTCTAAATTCTATGCCTTTCACAAGGACCAACAGCTGTAAGGTTTCTTTTCCTTTGGTATTTTCTGATGAAACAAACTTCTTCATAGTGCCACACATTTTACCCACAAGTGCCTTGTTTGTCACAATACATAAGGGAAAAGATTAGATTAACAAACCGAGACACTAGGGCTTAAACTGCCGATTTTGTAAGGTTTTGTAAACAACTTGCGGTGTATCTTTGCACGTACTAGTGACTTGATAAATAAAATATTAGTGCAGTAGTCCCATTTGATATTGCTGCATTACAGAAGCCCACGATCTTTGACTTGAACCTACAGGTTTTATTTACATAACTAATATAATACCTTGGAAACCCAGCAAAACACAACTCTATGGGGGCTACTTCTAAGATATATTACTGGCCCATTTTGATTACAGGTCCAATATACTGGTATTCCGATATATGGCTGCTAATTATATAGGAAATGTTATAAAAGCAAAGAAGTTTCCAAGTAATATACAGACACAAGCATGCAAAGTTACTCACCAGTTTCTGGTTTGTCCAGGGGTGTGGTATTTGGAGTACTTGTATTTTGGCTGGCAAGCTTATGCTCAGCTGCTTCTGTAATATAATAAATAATGTATTTGTCAATACAACTTTAAAAATAGAAAGCATGCAATAAATTAATTTATTTAGCTAGGAAAGGGCAATTCTTAGGGTGTGTCTGCGGATAGAGGTGGTCCTTAAAACCAAAGAAGCTAAAACAAGCTAGTTTATTTTATTTTGCCGTTTTGGGGAACTATTTAATTTGAATTTGTATTAACTTTGAGTGTGAAGTTGCAAAACATACTATATGCCATTAAATAGGGTGGGGACAGCTGTGAAATCAAGACCAGTGTTACATGGTGTTAATACAAATGTTAATACCAATGTCCACACATATTACAGTTTCCTCCTCCTGTACTGCAGTACCTATGTGGGGTAATCTGTATTCAAAGTATGGTAATCTGGTAGAGGTTGTATTCTATTCCATTCGGGGTAATTTATTTCAAGTCAAATCACACCAGTTGCCTCAGGGCACTTTACATTGCAAGGTAAAAATCCTACAGTGGTTTAAAAAAAACAAAACAAAAAACCCAACATCAAACAACTCTTTATGAGCAAGTACCTTTCAGCAAAAGATTGTTCCAATAATGAATGTACATGGTATACATCAGAATGCAGACACTTTTGTTTTGTTTATGATCTAATCACCATTAAGTTATCAGGCCTGTGGTAATTTAATAAAAAAAAAAACTCTAATATACTGAGAATTATACACCCCTAAAATTTATTAGGATACACAACCTGTAATGGATAGTTACATCTGTAACAACTTGAAGCTAGCTCTTTTTAAGTGGTCTCCATAAGAGCTTTTGAAGACTTCTACATTTGTGCTTGTGTACTTCTGTACCCCAATGGCATGTTTACAGTTGAATATGCAACACGTGCAAAATATGAATGAATAATTTCTGAAAAAGCTAAAGCTGTCTTTATAAACTCACTTGTAGTAATGACGCCTTTGAGAGTAGAGACAATTTGGCCCTCGGCCGTGTAAGCTGTGACTACAGCTTGATACATTTGAGCACTTTCCAAGTTGTCCACAGCAAGCTCTGTACCCGACACATTGGTCTTCAGCACCAGTGCATGGTCATAGAGCCTCACCACAACAACCTCAAAGTAAACAAAGAGCTTTGCATCTGGCCTGCTCCAACGCAATTTCAAGCTGCTGGAGGTGACATTAGAGACGTGCAGCTCCTCTGCAGCTGTGTGTAAGAAAATAACAGAAAAAGAGTATGTTGTAGTTGTGGTGGATGATGTCAACGTAACAAATGTAATTTTGCTGCATGGCCAAGAAGCATACATTTATAAGTAATCTTTACTTTGTGAAGCATGATAAAAGTAATATTCTAAAACAAGTGTAAAAATATTATTGAATTATGGGCAGGCAATTTTAGCAGTTAGCGACAGTGTGTATGACTTACAGTGACCAAAGCTGTCAGTACTTCTAGCTGAAAATGCAAATTTGTTCAACAACAGTCTTACCCTTGTGCTTTCTTTCATGAACTGCGTGGTGATTTTCATGATGCTTCTGGTGTTTCCTACAAATGTGGCAATGTTAAGGAAAAAAAATTGTAAAGAAAACCACCAATGTTTCCAGCATTAATAAAACAGCATTACAAACATTACAAAACTTACTCCACTTCCTGTGATGGTGTGAAGGGGTTTTTTAGTGGCTGGTCATTCTGAAACCACTTGCAGTTTTTGGAGACTTCAGGGGACATGTAGAAAGCATTTTCAACTGAAAAGCAATGCAACACAACTAGTTCAGGATTTGTTAGACTGATGTAACAAATAGAATCTATTCTAAAATATTTAAAAAGGAAAGCAAAAGGTATTGAAAATTTATCATGCCCATCAAAATATATCTTGAACTTACTACTGATATACTTGGGCAGTAGCTGGCCAAAGGTCTGGATGTGTCTGTCATATAAGTCTGAGCTACTCTTCAGCTGCTTGAAGAAGACATCTGAAGGCTCGCTGGCCATGTTTGACAAGACACTTGCATCCTTAGCACTCAATGTTTCACCTACACCAAAGATGACGAGGAAGTAGCCCTTGCACTTGACCTCAGTGGCAATGCGTATCAGCTTCTCCTGGTCTTGTTCCACACTTCCTGTCACAAACAGTATGAGTACCTTTTTGTCACGTTGTACAGGTGCCTTCTCAAACACTTGATCCACCGTCCTTTCAATTGCCTCTGCGAGTGCCCGGCCACCTTCCAGCTGGGGTGTTTTCTCTACCAGGAATTTGATAATATCTTGTGCTGAAGTGTGTTCAGTCAAGCCAATGTCAACATGAATGGGGGACCCAGATTTGTTATTCAGGAACTCGTAAGGTGCTTGCTGAATTACAGACACTCTGGCGTGGTTAACAGATGATGTGGGATTTGAAGACACGTGAAGATGCTCTACCATGTAAGATATATAGTGTTTAATCTCGGCAAAGACAGTTGGGTAGGTAGACTCAGAGCTGTCCATGACAAAAGCAATGTCAATGTCGACATCTGAGGTGAAAGATCTCCTATCTCGGCCAGCCGTTGGGGGAATATAGTCACAGATTTGGTCCGGAGAGCAGAAATCTTAAAAAAGAAGAAATTAAATTATGCATTTTCTTTCCTTTACATGGACTGAGACAATCTGTATTCAACAGTTTTTTTTATCTAGTCTCTTTTTATACAATGATTGGAAAAAATAGCTCTATTCTTAGATAAAAGTACATCAAAATCTGACAAAATAAAAGTGAGAAGCTGTTTCATAAATACTAATCCACCCAAACAGGTCTTACCCAGGCAGACATGGCAGTTCATAACCTTCTGGATGACTGAATTGTACTGTGGACTATTAGCGTTGGGAAGGACAATGACCTGGGCCAGTGCTGTGTTGTTGGCCTGGTATACAAGGAGAGGAAAGTTATAAGTTGAATACAAACGGATGGCCTATAAGATTAAAATTTTCTTTGGCTGTATGTTGTTATGTTACCTGCACCGCTCTGGAGAGTGCTCTGTCCTCCTGTCTGACCAGCAGCAAAGTGGCAATTCCAGCGTTGTGAAGGCGGAGGGCTGCACTAGTAATTGCTTGTGACCGACCAACTTGATCACCTACAAGGAAGATGGCCACCTTCCTTATGAGGAAGCCACTGCGTATCCTCTTGAAAGTGTTCTGGGCCACAAAGTTCATGGCTGTTTCCAAGCTGCGGGGCTTTCTTGTCTGTGGGAGCTGAAGTCCTTCAATGCGTTCCTCCAGGGCACGTTTCTTCATGGCATCAGCAAACCGGACCTCAGTCGTGACATCACTGTTATACAGGGTCAAAGCAACACGAGCTCCTCTTGGACAGTTACTTTCAGTGATTGTAATTTTTTTGACTATGTTTAGGACTGTGTCACGCATGTTGTTGAAGACTGGACGGCCAAGGCCTTGTGAGATGTCGAGGGCAAAAGCCAGCTCAGTGGGGTAGAGTGGGCATTCCTGCTTACCTAATGATGTCAACATAAAGGATTTTTGTTCTCACTGTGGTTGTGGATACCGTACATACACAAAAAGTCTAAGTCTAAGAAATTATTATTTCATTAGCAAATCATTTTGCACTTACCAAAGCAGCAAGCTGGTAAAGAAAATTGCACAGAATATGGTAAGATGTTTCATGAAGCACACAGTGCATAGGCATCAATAGTTCACAAAAATAGATAAAATCACATTGCTGAAAATTACTAAATTATACTTACGACAATTGTCTCTGATCTTTCTGACAAGGTCACATTGCTGAGGGAACAAAGAAACCACAGAAACATTTATTTAAAAAAGGCTGTGATGTGTAGAACTGAGTAAAGTTATGAGAATTATGCTCTGTTCAATGCAGTTCACACAAATATCTGATCAAATACCACAGCTCCTTGTCCTCTTTGTCCTTTGATACCCTGTTAGAGAGAAAACAGGGTATCAGCAACTAAATAAACATCCAGCCTACGGGTGAGAGTTACAGCCGATATAATTCGATTCAGTTTTATTTATATAGCGCCATATCACAACAACTGTTGCCTCAAGGTGCTTTATATTGTAATGTAAAAACCCTACAACAATACAAAGAAATCAGAGAAAACCCCAACAATCATATGACCCCCTATGAGCAAGAGCTTTGGCGACAGTGGGAAGAAAACTTCCTTGTAACAGTAAGAAACCTCCGAGAGAACCAGGCTCAGGAAGGGGGCAGTCATCTGCCGCAACCAGTTGGGGGGATAAGGTGAAGAGCTTACATTAATAGGTTATAAAATAATATAAAGATATTGGCCATAACTGTGTATTTAAACATGAAACACCTGTATCTAGGCAATGTTATAAATGAACTTGAAATAAACTTGTTGATGACATAATGTCATGCAAATTAAATTCACGCAAGTTGTAAAAAAGATTTTTAGATGCTTACATATGGCCCAGGATATCCAACTTCTCCTTTTTGTCCCTGTGTACCAATATCCCCAGAGACTCCCTGGAAATAGTTAACAGTTAGGGTAAAGAAAGAAATTCACATTTAAAGCAGTTCAGATGTCCGTACTTTAAAACAGACCATGAGTCTCTGTACTTCGCTATCTTCAAACATAAAAAAAAAAATGTGCATGCAAGTCATTTGCTGCCAAGAATGCATGATATATATTTAAACCAAAACTTCAGAACCTGTCCTCTACTTCAAAACAGCAAACACATCTGCTCAGCTGAGATCTGGAACAAAGCTGGGGCATCTGATGAAACTTTAGCAGACGTGTATATTAACCTTATTCAAATGTGGACTTAAAACTTACCCTCTGTCCACGATTTCCTCTGGATCCAGGTCCACCCGAGGTGCCAGGGTCTCCAGCTGCTCCCTGAAATGATGGATAAAAAGAGGATAATTGGAAATGACAAGTATCTAATAATAAGATTACTCATCTGAGGAAAACACAACAGTTTGTTTTAAAGGTTCACTGCTAGTGTTCTGCATTACCTTAGGACCTGGGAATCCTGGGAATCCTTCATCTCCCTGTAAAGAAGAATCACATATGCATTAAGTACTCTTTGTATAAAACTGCAAAAATAATTTTATTTTGGATGCATCAGAGCCATCACCCTGTATACAGCTCTATTCAACATTACAGAAGGGGTTGTTATCTTTAGTTAGGCATGTTCAGTTCACAAATCACTTGCCTTTCTTCCTTTAGGCCCTTGAACACCAAAACCATCTCTACCATCTTCACCCTGTAAAAGAAAAACAAAATTGCTGTAAAATTGCTCAATATTCAGAAAATTTACATTCAGTAACATTGCAATAAAATAAGATTGTTTGCTCTTACAGGCTCTCCAATGGGGCCAGTTGGTCCAACATCACCTTTAGGTCCTGGTTCTCCTGGCTCTCCCTACAAAGATATGAAGATAATGAAATACCTTTAGATGTAAGGTAAATGTCAAAGTGATGAATAAAGTGTGACTATATATCTTTAATATGATCGGTTTTCTATAGATTTAATTAATAACATGTGCTTGTTTTGCAAGGAGATCCTTAATGTTTTCTTACAGTGCTTTCTGGTTCACTCAAATAGACTCCACATGTATGTTCAGTAATGTGATAGAGCTTGGCTTAAGCCAGTGTGTTTATGATTAAATCAAACCTGTTATAAAAGAACATGAGCCACTCCAAATTTAGTTCCATTCAGTACCTTGCGACCAAGAGGTCCTCTTCTACCTTTTTCTCCACTAGGACCTGGGGTACCTCCAGGACCCTAGACAAGAAGAAATTAGAACATTAAAATTAGATTTTGAATGCAATCAACATAGAAAATCTGACCTATTGTATTCACTCACTCTAGGTCCAGGATTTCCATCTTCTCCTCTTGTTCCTGGTGCACCATTTGGTCCAGATGGACCCTTGGAAAAAGACAAATCCGCCATCAGTGATGCACCACTTACTTGCATATTAGAGCTGCAGTACCAATTCATGAGACAGACAGACAGACAGACAGACAGACAGACAGACAGA